AAGCGCGACCTTCGAAAGAGATTTCCACTCTGTCATCACGCTTCGTTGGGTTAGACAGGGACCTCACCGTTGACCAGAGCTTACTCACACCAGATGTGAAGTTACAGGCCTTCAAGTTCTCCTTCCACTTTTTCCGCTTATGCTGATTTACCAGTTGCCGAATCTCCAAATTAAGGTCCCTCAGACGAGGGTCCCCGGGGTCGACCTGGCGTAGGTGGTCACGCTCATTTGCTGGTACAGCTGCTTTGGCCGGGAAATTTGGGCGGACTTCCGCGATACGTCCGGACGGGATGAAGCGAGCCGCTGCGGCAGTGACTACCCTGCGGAACTGGCGTTCGCCAGTATGTATGTTTGTGGGTGTGAGGAGGGCGGTGAAGCTGCTCTCGGTAACTTCCGCGCAGCCGTCCCAATCAGCTTTGGTCCACTCCCAATGAGACCTAAGAGCAGAGCAGGTTCTTAGGTGACTCCATCCGTTGCATGAATTGCTCCTAACCGAATTGGAGTTTGGATGGAGTCGATTCTGGCAAACAAAACAGAAATACGTTTCTGGTCCGGGGTTGGGCTCTACGCCCGCCCGGAGAAAAAGGATGCGGAGCAATCCGGCTGCAAGGAGTTGCTCCATGGACGAACAATGATTGAGGGGTTTCGCCGATCTAACCGGGTTAGGTCACCGAAACAACAGCCCTTGGTCGGGTAAAACCCGAGTCATTCCGGTACGTAGAACCGGCTGTCTTGGGAATGGACAATTTGTGGTTGTTGTTGTTGTAGCGGCTACAACAACCCCGCCCAGGACGGTTGGCATCTCAGTCGTTGTCGTCAAGTTCCACTAACGGCAACCCTAGGAAGCGTGCAGCTTCTGTGGAGTTTGTCCACAGGGACAAGGCCGTTAGGGTTGTCGGGTTTTCCGGGCATGCGAAGAGATGTTTCGAGTCATGTTGGGTCTCTCCGCATGCCGGACACTCATTCGGCACATCCTCATTCAACCTACTCAGGTAGGAGTTTAACCTGCTGCAGTAGCCGGAGCTCCGTCTCGTCTATGTCCGGGGGTGGTATGCCTAGAACGGCATTCACAGGTCTAGAGTCTACATAACTCGAGACTGAGTCCCTGTGAATGCCGTTCAGGGCCTGTCGGTA